TAAACATTGCTTACTCAAAAAAAAAAAAAAGAATGAAAAGCCAGAATAACAGCATACCATTGGGAATGTGAGAACTAGACACAAGCTCCCCTCTTCCTTGCTAACTGAATTTCAGTTTTGTTCATACTCTGCTGGCAACTATAGACTTTATCACAATGGTCTCATTCCTGTCTCCAGGTTATTGATCCAGGCATTGGCAAGGGACACAATCATGACAAATAAGCTATGGGGGAAATCTACATGGGTAAGTTCCTAGGAATATTTTCTCAGTCTTGAACAGAGATACAAGAAAGGAACATTGCTGTTTTGCATTTCTGAATATCTATACCTGTGTATAATGTCTGGAACTGTGGCAGTCATTTGGGAACCTTAAAGAGAACCAGTTTATGAGTGCAAGCTAGCATGATGTGACTTGCAAAGTGATAACAATGAAAAACTTGATGACATTTATTTATTTGCTGGATTGATCACCACTAGAGAACTCTGTTTCACATTTTGCAAAATGGCAGTTATTTAGGACAGTCACACATGTTGAGTCCTCTGTTATTTATGATGAGAATCGATAGCACTAATATAATATGCAGAATAAATTCTTGAACTTTGATATTTAGCCATATGCCATTCTAACTACTTTTGAAATTGCTTACTGTCTGTGTCTAACTTCCAACCTATAGAAACTACCATATGAGCTGGGAGTGGACGCACATAACTGGAATTCTAACATTTGGGATGTAGAAGCAAGAGGATTGCAAGATCGAGGCTACAATCTGCTATAATGAGACTTTGCACAGGAAGAGAGAGACAGAGAGACAGAGAGAGACAGAGACAGAGAGACAGAGATAGAGACAAAAAGGTGCAGGGAGGGAGAAAACAGGAAGACAGGAAGAAAGGAAGGAAGGAAGGGAAGGAGGGAGAAAGGAAAGAGGGTAGGAAGAAAAAAGGGAGAAGAGCAGGGAAGGAAGGAAGGAAGGGAGTGAGGGAGGGAGGGAGTGAGGGAGGGAGGGGGAAAGGATGTCTATTTCTCTAACATAAACAGCTCCTTTGCTTTCCTGTCTTTCTCTCACTCTTCTGTCTTTGCTCTCCACCCACTTCTCTACTTTCTTCCACTTCCACTCCTTTTTATTTCTACAGGCCTTAAGTGACCTTAACTTTAACTTTAATATATATCTCAGCTTCTACTTTGAACCTAAATAGAACCTGCTCGATTTATATAATGTTCCTGGTACGCGTGTTTTCAGGGTTGACCATTTGGCACTAGACAGCTGATTGGTGTCCTTCCTGGGGAAGACCACCTCTCCCGCACCCAAGCTTTCCACAGTTGCTTATAGTCACAGCCCACTGTCTTGTCTTGCTGGTGAAATGGTTCCAAACTTGGGTCACAAGAAAGACTTCTATTTTATTAGCTCCCCTTGAACAGCCCCAGCATATGGTAAAATATGTTTTTGTTTCCTTGTTTCTAGTTCCCAGAGAGAAGAGAAAGCCGGCAGAACTGGGGAAATGTTGGCAGCTATTCATCTGACAGGGATGTCTCAGAATACATGGTAAGGGGGGGAAAGCCATTCGTTTTCCCTTTTTGGGGGGGGGGTTCGAGACAGGGTTTCTCTGTGTAGCTTTGGAGCCTATCCTGGCACTGGCTCTGGAGACCAGGCTGGCCTCGAACTCACAGAGATCCACCTACCTCTGCCTCCCGAGTGCTGGGATTAAAGGTGTGCGCCACCAAGGCCCGGCCCCGTTTCCCCACCCCCTTTTTATGTTCTCAGCTTATGACAACTTGTGAATCTGCACTTACTTGGTGTGAATCAAGCTTCTCAGGAATTTCTCCGCTGGCTGTTGCTTCCGCATAGGCTTCATAGAAGGTCTTTTCATGGGACTCCACTGTAATAGTCAACACAGCATCATACGCTTCCCGAAGCTTTTGATTGTTCCTCAGGACCTGGTAGGGGGTGTGCTTATAAGGTAAACTGTAGAGCAGCACATCATAGGGGACAAAGACGTAAGTCCCATCAGTCATTTTCAGCTCGTGAGCCAATTCCAAGAAGTGTGTCTGAGTCTCTCCCCCAATCAACGCCGAATGCATACACAGGATAATTACTGAAACCAGGGGGAAAAGTTATGGTAGTAAAGCACAGCATCAGTAACCAAAGAGGAGAAAGAAAGAAATGTGCTCTAACCCATCTTTTAGAAATGACGTCTTTCCTATGCCCACAGGATGGCCAAGATACTGAAGTCTTAAGATAAGGCTGAGTTGTGTGGGAACTCTTAACTTGTCTATAGAGGCCAGAAGGATATGTCTACAGGCTGCAGAGCCTAGTCCTAGACAGGAAAAATAGTACAAGTTGGGGACAGAAAACTAAGAGGCCCTGAGGTTGAAAGGTCTATTGAGTTTATATCCTGATAGCACTATTTATTAGCTGTGTACTTCTGGGTAAATGACTTATCCTCGCTGTGCCTCCAGACGTCAATACTTCATGAAGAGGTAATAATAGTTTAAGGAGAAAATTCATAAGATAGGTCTAGTATCTACTCTTGTATCTAAGAAGGATAGACTGGGAGAGAGGCCCATAGCCACTATTGCTTTTTGCTGTCCACTCATTACAAACATGCACTCCAGCATATTTTGACTAATGTTCCCTGCTCTTACCAAAGCCATTATAGACAATGAATGGCACTAACACATACTCATCTATAAATGCTACTAATATTGTGGATGATATTTTCATTCTTTTTCCGATCTAACTTCCCTATAATTGGAATTACTTTGCACTCAATTTAATTCTTCCTAGACTTATGAAACTACGTTGTTTGGCAAGGCTATGCTAGAATAGACTGGATTAGAGGGGGCCACGGTTGAAGAATGGCAGCTAGATCATAAGACAGAAAGTCTTATATCCAATTTGATCATTGGCATGCTAAATGAGTTTAGTTTAAGCCCACTTGTGCTTCAGTGCCCACATCTTTAAAATGCAGGTTCCAATGCATTTCACAGGTACATTGAGTAGTTTAATTAGATAATGCCTGGCAAGTATTCTGAGCTCCTTGAAGAAAAGCAAGAGTCCTATCACCACTGGTAAATATTAATTATACATGCTTCTATGGAACTTTAATCTCAGGAACTAAGTGTGCTTAACTGTATTCAATGACTGGTCTTTGGCTTTACTGTATTGCTTCATGTGTTTTCAAAAGCTTTCTTTACACTTTCTAAACATTTCTGCAAAGTTTTGCTTTGAAACTAGAGCTGCCACCCCACAACTGTAAGTCTACTCAGTAACTTTTAAGGTGGATTCTTTTGTGTGGGGGGCAGGGGGGGTGTCGAGACAAGATTTTTCTGTGTAGCCCTGGCTATCCTGGAACTGTCTCTGTAGACCAGGCTGGTCTTAAACTCAGAAATCTGCCTGCCTCTGCCTCCTGAATGCTGAGAGTAAGGACATACACCACCACTGCTGGCTTAAGATGGATATTAAAGATACATACCCAAAACTCACATTCAACTCAGCCAAACTTGAGTTTTTAAATGACCTTTAGTTCCGGGAAAATAATAAATACTTTAAGGGGGTTTATGTGTATTCTCATGCTCAGACCTTCCTTTGAATGTTCTAAGATCTTTGGAGCTGCCCCATGAGCCACTAAAAGAATTCAGTTGCAGTTGTTGATAATTACACACTGTAGAACGGGAAAATGTGGTGCCAGAGAGGTTTGACAAGACAAGAGCTGGGCTTAGGAAAATTAAAACTGGTATCACACTCTCTGTTTGACTACACCATCAGACAAGAATTCATTTGATCCAAGCAATCAAGATCTGTTGGGGGACAGGTGAGCTAAACCACGTGCTTTAGTTAGTGGCTAGTTTCTTGGTAAGTAAGTAAGTGTTGGCATTTCTCCTACAAAGGCAATGATAAACTGACTTGATGAAGGTTACCAAACACAGTTCCACTTAATTCCCTTAAGGGATATTGAAATTACTGCATGAAAAACATTAAATAGAACGAAGTACTTTGTGTTTGTTAAGATACAAATATTCCAGTGCATACAGTGAGAGCTATTATGATGTGCCACCCAGACATACACTTCAGGACTGACACATTCACTTCCCTAGCTGCTGGGCATGTTAGCAGGTAATAGCTAATGCCTCACATATAATTAACCTCAGCTGAAGAGAGCCACCTCTCACAAGGTCGCATGCCTTTAGCAGTGAACTGAAGCTATTGAGGGTTGAGTCACACTGAGCCTATGGTTACATTTTCCGGACATCTGTAAGCCAGTAAACAACATGCTATTAGCTTGAAATTGGCCACAGTGAAGGTGATTTGTGCTTATGGAAATCATCAAACTACAAATCAGGGCTTTCTCATTGCTGGGAAGACGCTTGGTAAAACAATTATTAGTACATTGCACCCTTTCTTTGAGTCAGCCTACACCTAATAAGCAGTCTACACAGAGGTAGAAAGCCCCAGACTCTTCCAATTCTAGTTGTCTCAGCTCCAGAGCACCCCTTAGAGATTGGATGAGGCCTTTGTTTTTCATTCTTTCCCCCTAATTCTCTGCCTTTCTCTTCAACACGAGTGTTATACTTGAAAACAATCACCAATAAGCTTCACGCACTCAAAGTTACATCTAACACCAACTTCAAGCCACCACTATTCCCTAAACTGGCTTCTATCACAACACCCACTGTATTTATTAACATAATTTGTATATAACAGCTTCTCCTATGAAACTTTGGACTTCTTAGGATCAGAGACTGTGTAGTATTTATCTTTGCATTTTGATACACACACACACACACACACACACACACACACACACACACGATTATTTAAATGCAAACTTGCATGGTAGCAAATTCCTGGGAGAAAAGAGTTTGCATTCATGTATTTGTAAGAGTTTCATGACATGTGGGAGACATGGACACACTTGCATTAATAAGAAAGCAGAACAATTATAAGTTATAGTCTTGGGTAAGTAGGCACTAGCAAGCTTGTATTTAATGCCAAGTGCCATTATCTTACCCCTCAATCTGAATCTCTTATTTTTTTCTCATTGGCACATATGACATTTTTTTAAAGGGTCCAAATTTCCAAAACTAGAAAGACCATTTAAGAGTATCTAGCCCAACCTTTCTCTCTCATTTTTAGAAGAAAAAATGGAAACCTTGAGAGGGAAATGATCTCAGGCCTCTATTTTTGCAAGGCAAGAATTTGCCATTGAGCACAATTAAAGTGGAAAGCATAAACACTGAATTCAAACAACAGCATCTTAATTTAATAGATTGAGTGCTTCATGCACAGGGATTTATGGACGCATCTGTTCTACGAGATGGTTTTCACTAAATAGCTTTTATTATCTCAAAATTACATTCATTAAAATGGGATTTGACCTCTAAGTTGTTGTCAGGAAAGGATTAGTATACAGAAAACTTAAATCCTAGGCAAGGTTTAGGTCAACAGGTGGTCAAGAAGTAATATTAATTTGTAAGTTTCCATCTTTGATTGTTAACAGCCAAACCCTTCTATAACCAAAACAAGGACCAGAAAACATACCCTCCAGAGATCATATCTTACAGGAATGATATGAGTACTTTCTCTGGTATATGTGTACTCCATTTGAGTTGCTTAGCAGCCATGTCTTCAGTCTGGGGTGCTGCCTATGGTAAGCTATGTAGGACCCTATCTCCCCTTCAGTATTTCTAGAAAAGAATATCAGGGAATCCCAGGGAAAGCCAGTCCCTGAGTTCCACAACCCTTCCTTCTCTTCATATAAAGAAAGTCTCTGCCCACTATTTCCTTGAGATAGATGACTTGTATTCTTCAAAGGGGAAAAATTTCAGACACTGTTCTGCACACATGTGATCCCAAGACTAGGGAGAAATGGACAGGATGGGCTTGATGAAGTGTTACAGTGCATGGCCAACCTGGACTATAACAACTTCAAGGTTAGACTGAAATACACAGGATGACCTTATCTAAACAACAAATAGATCCAGCAGATTTCACTTTATCTCTCTCAGACACACTGACTACAGAATCCTCTGTGGAGGAAATTGGGGTCTAGTTTGACACCCTGTGAGATGGGAATGATTCCACAACCTAGGGACTATACTCATGTTTGGGAGTCCCCAATGAACAGAAGCCCCCATTCTTCTGCCCTCCACCTGCATTTTAGATGTTTGTGTGCCTTTTTCTTCCGCTGACATTCATTTTAGCCTATTTCAGTTTAATGATTTGCTAATGCTGAAGGGCAGACAAACAACACGAGAAAAGAGACACAGAGGACATAGACACAGTGGAGGAAATTTAGATGTTCAGAGGTTTCCACTAGTGCTGGGTCTTCAATGATTTGATCATTGCTAATAGTGGATTTGCTCATAAAGGCAAGTGGTCTTCTCACCATTTATATTTATGTACGCTTACATTTATCTATAGGAAATTGTATACCAAAATCCCTAACATGACTAACACCATTTACCACAGTACTGTCCATATCACTGTTATCAGTGTTGGAAATAGGGCTTAAAACTGGTACACCTGGAGACACTTAAAATCATTTCATCAGTGGGTCTTAGAATTAAGAAAGAATAACAGAAACGAAGAGAACACAGACTCTCCAGTGTGTGTATTTTAGGAGCATACCTCAAGCAGAGAGGAAGCAGTAAAGTCCTTCCACAGGTCAGTTATCAAGGTATAGTCTGAGGGCCAGCAGGGTGAGCATCACTTGGGAACTTACTAGAAATGCATATTCTGGACCACACAATGAAGGGACCAGCTCCCCGTTTTGGCAGCCATAACAACCTAACACGCGCTTGCCTGACCTTGCCTTGGTCACTAGGAGGTCAGATGCCTGCCTCATGGCAAGGAACCAATCAGGAGTTAGCTGGTGGTGCTATGCTTTACAGCTCTGGGTGTGATTTACGGACAAGTGCACAGCAATGATGCGCAGAGCATAGCAACCACCCTGGGAGGGCCTATGGGCCATAACAACCAATTGGCCAATCAACACAGGGCAAGTCCTCCAAGCCTGGAGGCACACCAATCCTGAGACTGTGCGTACCCCTAGACACTCCCCTTACACTGCCCTATAGGATCTCTGTCCCGTGTTTCTCAGTGTCTTTTCCCAGCCATCCGCCATGGTGGATGGATGAAAGGCCGGAGCTAATGGGGTTAGCTTGTTAAACAAGTGCAATAAAGCCTCTTGCTGTTGGCATCAATCTTTCGCCTCTGCCTAGTGATTGGGGTCCCTGAAGTCCTGGGCTGAGATCCTGGGGGCCTGAGCCTCTGGGGGTCTTTCAACCCCAGATTCTCTGAATCAGAATCTTTGGAGAAGGAACTCAGCAAGGTGTGTGAAGAAGCTCTTCTGGAAATTCTGATTCTCACTTAGATTTGAGAGCCACCATATCAGATAAACCTGAAGCTGTATATCTCAGCTTTCCCATTCACTGGCTGTATAACACCAGGAAAGTTATTTAACCTTGCTGCCTCAGAGGTCTTACCCATAAAGATGGAAAAATAGTAATCAGCCTTATTTTCTAGGGGCATTGAAAGAATTGAATAAAACAGTCTATGTAAAGTCCATTCAAAATGCCTAGGATATAATAAATTCTCAATAAATAGGAGGAATTATCAGTTATTCTTTTATGTGCAAGCTTGTAATCGATGGAAAGAAGCTGGTCAGGCCCTGGCTATAAAGATAGAAACTGTATCTAATTGGAGGAGAAAAAGAGAAGGCCATTTTGACTGCCACAATAAAGTACTTCCAATTTGGAAAGATTTAAAGGAAACCCCAAATGGTGGACAACCAGGTAAACTCCAATTGAAAGGCTTTCAAACTAAGAAGACAGGAGGGATTGAAACAGTCATTGGAAAAGTCCTCTGAAGAGCTGGAGGTAAGGCCTCCTTCTTGACTTTGTAGGACTAAGAAAAGGAACCCCTCCTGGCTGGATGCAATCCCTCAGGTGCTTTGCATGGCCTGTGAATGCTCCTTTGTGCCAAGGGACAAAAACCTCCAGCAGGGCTCATGGTCAGAGCAGCAGGGAGTGGATGGTATTTGGACCCCCATACCCACTCCGCTAGGTTCCCAGGCACAGGGCAAAACCTACATAATCCCACACAGTATTGCTGACTGCAAATTAAGGTCTTTGCCTTTGATTAATACCTCCACTTGGCTTTGTTAGAAATAAAGATAATTGGCAATCACTTCCAAGATTTAAAAGAAATGAGTCGATAACCTCAAAAAGGCTGAATCCCCCTACTCTGAGGCTTTATTGCCCCTATCATTTGGTGTTAACAATGCCTACACCTAGCCACTTGCTCTTGTGAGCCTCACAGATACAGTAAACTCTGAAGAAGGAAAACAAAAAAACAAACCCAAAAAGAAAAAAACAAAAAACCTAACTCCTGGAGAATACTGACAAATCAAATGGTCAATGTGTAAATACCTTGTAAACTGTAGAACGCTGCTTATGTGTAAGATAGAATGAATTGTTTCTTTTGTTGTCTCTGCGACCCAACATCTAATAAGGCCTCTGTTGTTTCCCCTTCCAAAAGTCTGTAGCTATATTATTGTTACTTTACTGTTTAATTGACCATTGCCTTGGTACTGTGTAAACATGATTCAGACTCGTTTCTGAGAAAGACATTTCCTCTAACTCCAATGAAGCACCAGTAATATGGCCTAATTGGAGACATTAATTTATAAGAAACAGAGTGGCATATGGACCAGAGCCTGCTCTTCTCTTCCCTCCATCCCTATTATCACCACCAGTCCCTCCATCCCCTACCACTGTCACATAGGAGTTCCATCACTGTTACTATGATCTCTCCAAAGGAAGGGGTGGTTTCCCACTGTATTCTGTGTTACAAGGCATTCTTCTATGAGTAACTCAGTACTATTAAGTTACTTTACCATCCTATGGAGAACTTCCATCTTGGGTTACAATGTTTGGAGCTCTTGCTTTCACAACCTAACAAGACCTCTTTGAAATAACCCACAGGCCTATTTTGTTTAACACTTACTGCTCTTCTGAACTCCTACTGCCATAGCTCACCTACTGGTTGACCCAGACTCAAATCCCAACAGTTAATTGCACCAGTTCTGGAAATCAGAGACTCCTTTGCTCACTCTACACAGAGACACATGAATTCCCACTCGGTCTACAGCCCAACTTCCACCTCAATTTATTGGTTTCCACCCCCAATCACACCATGACTCATGTCATTGAGGTCCTGGTACATCTCATCTGGGATTGTTTACATTTGTCCAAAACAGAGGAAACTAATCCTGAAGCACAGAGATTTATCTTTACCCCCAACATTGTCTCTTTTAGAGTCCTTCTCCTGCTACTGCCATTCTTGTTACAGAGGGGTTTTCATTGCTCCTTGAACAGTCTCTGTTGGGTTCCCCCTCATTCTCAAAACTCCCAACCCTTTCGTGGGCTGATTCATATCATCATCACACAGGTGTTCAGAGTAAACAAAAAACAAAGATTAAGGAAAAGATGACTGGTCACTTCAGATAAGAGACATTTATTTGCATTCTATTAACTTCAAGGCAGTGACTCTGAAGTCTGGTTGTGCTTTAGACATACATTTGCTAAGGGCCCCAGCATAAGCCAATTCAATCCAAGTAGCTGGGGTTGATTCAGTCATTTTGAAAAAAAAATGCCCAGGTAATTCTAGTGATCAGCTAATCCAAGATCCCTTGAAAAAAAAGATAGGCTTCCAATGGTAGGACAATAAAATGCATGTTTGCTACCTCTCTACCTCAAAGGAAATGGTGTTGGTGAACATGCAACACTGATTCCTCTCAGTGTGATGACAAAAGAGCCCCAGGGCCTGGATTTATTTAACATTTCATGATCAGGACCAAATATCAGTCTAGTATTTACAATAAGTGGGATATGATACACTCATGGAATGTAAGCTCATGAGACACAGGGCTTCATGAAGCTCTGTAACATTTTATAAAGTCCCGATCCTGTATATGTTGTTTTGTTTCTAGCATGCTTCCTCTCTGGAAATGATTTTCTACCTTTAAAAACAAGTCTGTGTTCGGCAAGCACTACATTCTGTTATGATGTAATCAGAGCCATGCTGACTGCTTAACACTGAAGATTTTATAGACTGGAGCTTACAGACTGTAGGACTACTGGGGCTCCTGCAACTAAAACCTCTGGCCTTCATCTTCCCGAAGCGATCATAATTAAGGTCCAATAGTGGAGACCCTTGAAAATGAAAATGGATTCTGGTTATAAGCCAGGCCTAAGATGGACCATTCTCCAGAAAGCCTGTTGTTATGTTAAGAAAATGAATGCAGACCAGGACTAATCCTAGAAGCAATCCTTTTGACAAGTGGTTTCTGAGCTACAGGTCCTAACGTGATGAAGTGGCTGCAGTTTGACAATGAGCATTGTTCCCATATATCACTGCCACTTCCAGAGGAAGGTACAGAACAGATTTATTTTTTAAAAAGCAACTAAAGCAGATGTAGAAGAAAATATCAAAACCAAGTGTCAAAAATGTAGGAAAAGAAACATCTGGTTCTAGGAACCATGAAGGTTCTCTCCCCAAATCATTTCAAATTCAAATTCCTGTTGGTAACAGCAGCTTCGGTGAGTCAAGTCCTCTGTGACACTCTTTGCTTATTTCCTATGCAAGAATCATTTCTGAGCACAAAGCTTCCCTTGAACTGAAAGGCATATTACCACAGAGCATGCTAACACAAAGCATATTTTTGCTATGTTTCATTCATCAACTAAGTGCCCTCCATACCTGCATACTGCAGGGGGAAGAACCTCACTCACTTCAGGAGGAAGGGGAGACAGGACTTTAGCACTCAGGAAAAGTTAGGTTCTAAGTGAAATATGATGGCACACAGTACTGGGCACCTATGAAGGAATGACTCAGAAGAGAGTCGGAAGTAGATCTCCACTCCATGATTTAAAAAAAAAAAAAAAACAAAACAGACAAAAATGGAACCACAAGAGCACACTGTTATGGTTAGTCTAAAACTGCTATGGTCCTCAGGACAAGGACAGGGTATGGCTAAAAAAATTTTTTTTTTTTGGGGGGATTTTCTTTGCCTCCCTCCAGAGTGCTGGGATTAAGGGAGAGCACCACCACCACCTGGCTAGCTACAGTACTCTACTACACCAGGTGCTATGATCAGGTGCTGGTACCCAAGGGCACCTGACCACGAATTCTTGATATCCCTATTAAGTCCCTAAGATTGACTCTGTTGAAGCCACATTCTTGGGGCCTGAGTATCCATGAAAAAAGGCATGCATATAAAGAACTAGAGAAAGACGTGCTAGCCTAAGATATGAAGGCAGAAAACCTTTTAGGGATTGTCATGTTTAAACCACATCTAAACCTCAGCCGGGAAGCAAGCACTCACTGCGAATTTGGTCCGCCTGGCGAATGTGCTGGAGAGCTTTCTGGATGCTTTGGCTGTCTTGTCCTGTGGTCAGGACGACCCCTACAGGTAGGCCGTGGCTCTGAAGAGCACTTGAGACTCGATTGGCTGTATGCAGCCAAATGTCTTCATCTGAGGAAATGACCCCAGCATGAGCCCACTGGAAATACTTCATGACAGTTATAAGCACCCGAATAGGAGAAGGGAGTGTCCGAGAAAAGGTCGGGTAGCTATGTTTGTTATCTAACTCATGATTCACACAAGCCCAAGAGAAAATCCCTTTGTCCCAGCTGTTTCCCAGGAGTGAGGCTGCCTCACAGTAGCCGGGGTTGGCAGGTCCGATAAATCCTGAGGCCATCTGCTGGTGGGAAATGAAACTGGAGAGGGCCTTTGAAGTCTGACAGTCTTCATTAAGAATCACATATTCGAATGAGTAACGCCTGTCAAATGACACATCCCGGCTGATTCGTTCAATTGCCAAATGAGCAGCAACCTTAGGCAGGGCCTTAGAGAAGAAGGGATCGCATGTCCAGGGACCTATGACCCCTATCTTGTAGGGGACTGCTTGTACCCACCGTATGGCCAGGAGGCACACACACTGCAGGAACTTGCAGGATGCAAGGCCATGGTGTCCTGACAGTCTGCTGGATATGGCAAACCAGGACAGAAGGCGAGAAAAAGGCCAGGGTCCGAGGAACATAGCCTTGCTGTCTTCCAGCAAGCTAACGACGAGATACTGGTGGATTACTCTGCCCTCTGGAGATGGACAGTAGTGTTTCCAAGTGCCTGTCAACCAGAGTGAAAAGTTTGTTACATGATTTCTGAAGCCTCTGGGGAAAAATCACTTATGAAACGGTGTAGTTTCCCGAGTTGAAATTTTCCTTTCTCTACCCCAACCAAAACTTTTCCTCATCCTGTCCTCCTTGTCTCAGTAGACAGCATCTTCTCCATTCACTGTCCACTCACTTGCTTCAGCCAAAAAACTCTAATTATGGAGGCTCGTTGTCTGCTATCCTCCACATTCTGTCCATCACCAAGGTCAATTGACTCAAATTTAATAATAACTGCCCACCTCACAATGTTGTAACAATTACAACAGATAACATATGGGAAATGCTTATAATATGACCTTGGTAATAATCAGAATTATATTTGGTGGTGGCATATGGTGGTGGTGGTACACACCTTTAATCCCAGCATTTGTGAGGCAGAGGCAGGTGGATCTCTGAGAGTTCGAGGCCAGCCTGGCCTACAAAGTGAGTTCCAGGATAGCCAGGGCTGTTACATAGAGAAACCCTGTCTTGAAAAGTGAAAAAAAAACATATATTTGGTGTACTATTATGGTCATGATGGTTTACAAGATGTCCATTTACCCAGACACTAACTTTTTAGAGACAGACAAGTGCAAACAGATAATAGCAATGCTGAGTAAAAAGTGCTGTTTGAGGTAGCTAATACAGAAGAAAACACAAACAATTGTCTTAACCCAGAGGTTGGGAGAAGAAAGGCAAGGACAGAGCAGATGCAAGGGGATTATAAGCACTCTATATTTCTGGCTATGATAAAGACACCTTTTTTGTTTGCTATCTCTGCACTTGTAGCATTTCATACTTTCAACCACAAGAAGGGAGGGAGCAAAAGAAGGGAAAGAGAAGGAAAAAGGAAATAGGAGAAGGGAAGGAGAGGGGAGGAAAGGGTGGTGTCTCTAGAATATGTGTTGAAACAGGAAAGATAGCCAGACAACTATAAGTCAAAGTAGGGAGTGCTATAAGGCTTACAGAGGCTTTCCCTTTGCTTACAATATGGTGAATGAACCAGAATTTAAAATACAAGTATGTAGCTGAGCATAACAGTGCTCACCTTTAAACCCAGCACAGGAAGTCTCTGTGAGTTTGAGGACAGCCTGGGCAGTTACACAGAGAAACCCTGTCTCAAACAAACAAACAAACAAACAAAGTCTATATTAGATTCTAGAATTTCAAAACATTTGTTCTACCTACCTGGATTTATGGAATCAAGCAAGGCAAAGCCAGATCTCCACGATTTTTCAAACTTCTCACATTGTACACGGCATTGTCATCTACAAAGTTCATTCTCAAGAAATGTACAATCCTGTTCTCCACTCCCAAATCACAAAATAATCTTATAACATTTTAATCCATTTAGGATTTGTTTTGGTTTGGGCCAACTTCACAACTATCCCCACCTGCAGGTGAGATATGCCTGCCTGCCATGGTGTGGAGAATGGGCTGGAAGGCTGGCAAGAATAAGAACAAGACAGTTTGGAAGATCCCAGAGGAGCAATAACAGACCAAGAGCATAGGCGCAAAGATGTAATTATAGAAGAATTAAGATGACTTTCTCCAGGATGGAAACTGTCAAGGAAAATCTCTGAGGATTCACAAGACTTAAAGGGCAGTCAGAAAGGAAATAGGTCATAAGGAAGACTTACAAACCAGTAAAGAAAAAGAGAAGCTTATTATATGGATGATGATGCTTTGATGATGCAGAGGCTTTATCAGTACCACACTCTAAAATCAATTAAAATATAGATAGGGACCCAATGGACATAGGCCCAGAGAGCAAGGATGCAACTTTGAGGACCATAATGAGAAAAAATTAAATAAGAATGAATTAATGATGTAAAGTCAGCCAAGGTGGCAAACGCAAAGGCTTCAGTCCTTGCATCTATCATCACCCCATCTCCTGCTCTTCTTTCTTCATGCTCTGATAAATGTCATATCGTTCTTCTGACACATGTCACATCATCTGACAAGCCTGGGATTTGGAAAAGACCATGCCTTTTTGTGGAATGCCCTCTTCTTTTTTCTCATGCTCCCTTTCCAGGCTCTTCTGATGAACTCTGCCCTCGAGAAGCAATTGAAGTGTTCTCCCACTTTGTGCTACCTTAGGCAACCCTCCCAGGTGGCCTTCAATGCACGTGTATTCATACCTGTGAGAGAAGATATCACTCTCACCCAAAGCTCTCTATATTTCTGGCTGGGATAAGGATAGAGAACTGACTGATGTCTCTGGACTTAGAGAATGTCACAGGGAATAAGCAATGACAAGGGCAGCTGTGTTGAGAAGAGATCCCAGTGGCCTAGGAGTTCCTGAAGCCAAGTTCCTAGCAATGAAAATCAGATTAATGTATGTGAAATTAATAAACAAGTTGACTTGAGACCATGAATGTCCTCAGTAGATAGAATTACCTGCTCCCTAATGTGATCACAACATTTAGGAAGTTAAGACAATAAGACAAAAAGAGTTTTCAAGGATAGCTCAGTGTACAGAGGGAGACCCTGTCTTAAAAGAAAACTTTTTAAAAGAACTATATGTATATTAAAAAACATTAATTGATAAAGAGAGATGATAATGAGGAAAATCATTAGTAAGTACTTGCTCGAATCAAATGTCAAAATAATGGCTTTGCTCTCCTCGGGGCTGATAATAAACACAGCTGTCCACTGGTCAGGCCACACTATTATTTTGTATTGATTGCAATCATTTTGACTATGGTAGCCCTGTTGGATCCTATACTGGCTCCAACCCCTAATTTGGGCACATGTGGTAGATTTTAAAGACTCACCAAAGTAATGTGGCCAACATTCACACATCAGGACAAGCTGTGTTAAATGACACTGAAGGGCACCTTGGGAAAGGAAACAGTTCGGAAAGTAACATGCCAAAGACTGGGGGTATGAGAGTCAGAAAGAGAAGCTCCCAACTGCTTTAAGGTTGGAGAAAGGTGCTTCTGGGATAAGTACATGCCTGAAGATCTCAGATCCATTACGAGACTCTGAAAAGATAATACGTTCTAATCTCTCCCATAAAACCCACACCTGGTCTGTGTGCTGTGGTGAAAGCATGAGGGTCAGACACAACCTAAAGCAGAAGCTGTTGGGCTACAAGCTGAGATGTAGGAAACAGCCACACGCTTCTTTTCCCACCTGCTTCCCATGCCAAGTTTTTCCATTTCGTGGGGGGGGGGGATTGTCCCTGTTTCAAGTATGTTTTGTAACAAAGATGTTGAATTACACACCTCTTAGCTTACAGGCCCCCACGCTCTCAACCACCGGGAGTGGGCAACAAAAGCCACTCCATGTGGTGAACTGACCCCCATTCCCAGCAACAAGGTGAAGAAGCTGCTTTGGTTCTTATGTGGCTTGTGGGTCACAAAGGTCATGATGAATTGTCATTCTCAGTGTAATAGTGTCACGGTAGAACTTTTAAGAGGTGAGTGGGCCTGTAGGAGGGATTGATGGGCTTTGGAGAGGCTTAGTGTTCACACAGGGATGAATGAGTTCTTGGGAAAATGAGTGCATTCTTATAAAGTGAGTCCCTAGTGTTTCATGCCATGTGATCTCTTGTATGTTCTACCATTCATTGTCACCTCAAATATTGCAGTGTACCATGAGACCCACAACGGATGCAGCTACCAGATTTTGAATTTCCTGTTTTCAAAGCTGTGAGCTTAATAAACATCTTTCCTTATAAAAGGACTAAGCCTCAGATATGTTGTCATAGCAACACAAAATGGACTATGAAGACAAACAAATGGATCTTGTAACGCAAATACACCAGTTTTATGAGTTCTTTTCCATAACCTGTACATTTTAATTAGAAATCAGCACCCAGAATAATAAAGGCTAAAATGTACTGAATTCTTAGTATGTGAAAAGCACTAGGTTGTAACCCTTGCAAAAATTATCTTATTTTAATAACACCTTAATTTAAAGAATTCATTATAGTTTGTAGAGGTACCTGCTGTCATAATTAATTATAGATGAGGAAAGAATACTGAGAAAGAACAACTTGCCTGGGGGTGCACCAGGGTAGATTGAGGATTTACACCCCAGTTGATTAAATACTGTGATAGAAGGCTTATACATAGCCCGTAATCTATAAAATAATTGAGATCACCTCATTATACCTTCTATTCTACTCAAATTGAATTTTATTGACTCATTTGTGGTTTAAGACTTCCTTAGTCCTCCCCTCTCCATGGAAGAATAAATTAGACAAAGGGGTAGAGAAACAAAGCAAACCAGAAAGAACAATGAAAATTCACTATCTAAATAGAAGAAACCTGAAATTTGTGCTTAATCCTAGCTCTGCCACAACCTGACTTGAAGCAAACTGTTGCAAAAGTGAATATGGGGGGTCACTGGTTATGCTGCACTATGTACAAAGCCTACATCGGTGTTCAGGAATGGAAGTCTTAGAAGGTACATCCCCCAGTGCTCGATTTCTTCATCTGGAAAATGTAGTTAAATATAAAAAACTCTAATCTTTTGAAAAGAGCTGGCTAAATAAGTTATAATTGTAAGCACACAAGAGTCTTTCCCTAACACTGGTTCTTCCTTGCTGGTTGCAAAGTGCATTGTGTTGGCAATCAGAAGGCCAGGTCTCTGGATCCAGCTCTGCTAGTGACTCACCATGCAACTGTCAACAAATTGCTTCCCTCTTCACCCTCACCTGGACTTTGGGATCTTCAGCTGTCTTTCTTCTCTGGCATATACTGATCCTGGCCTCCAAGTTTCTTCAAGACAGTTATTCCAAACCAGTCCACTGTTAATTGCTTGCTAGACCACTCAAAATTCCCCTGCAAAAAAAAGCCTCCTGCCTCTAAAAGGCTTCTTCCACAAGTTTCCTCCCCAACTCTTTTCCACTGAATTCCATCTGACAGATCCAGTTTCT